GTTGATTTCTATGTTTGGGTTTTGTGGTTCTAAAATTTGTTGGTGTGATCAAGTATCATCATTTAATAGATTCTCTTTGTGGATTTGCTTCACTTTATGAGGCTGCAAGATTTGCATCTAGCATAACCTGGACTTGATGCACTAGAATTGTTTTTCTTGTTATCTATCCAAAATGGGTGTACACTACACATTTCAAAATGAATGCTCATTAAAATAGTTTGACATAATGCAAAGTGAGAAGGCCTAGAGATGCCTGAGTTTATGTAGACAACCTTTTAATAACACACGACACACAAAAACATGTTTTATATATATAGTTCTTCTCTGGACAGGACATATGTTCTTTATCGAAGGACGGACTGTAGATATGGTATTGATAAGGTGTCGATATCACTGTGGATAACATATCAACCACAAAATATACAGACATGTTATCCATACACATTATCGACAATATAAATACAAAATCCGCCCGTTAACAAAGAACAGGTTTCATGCACAGAGAATTTCTGTATATGCACAATGACAAAGTCAAATTGGTGCTTCCGTACCTTTGCGGCATTTGGTAAAGCCAACAATATTTGCAATGCTGAGGGTCAAACAAACTCCTACAACGAGGAGATAATCTGCCTGAAACTTTATTAGAGAAAATATTCCAAGCACAATCCATGCAACAGCCTGCCCAAAAATGAAAAACAGCAACTTGTGAATTTAAAACAGCTAAAAAATACAACTATATGTGTACACACGTATGCATGCATCCAGATCTTCCAGGTTACAGGTACATGAAACCAGAAAGGGACCTCGCAACACAAACTCTAAAGTACTTTTTCAGTTATGAATATTATCCATATCATCATCAACTCCCAAGTGGATCCATCCAGATGCTTATAAAGCATTTCAGTTACACAACACTTGTAATATCTACATCCTATCGTATTTAATTGATCAATTATCAGTATAGACCACCTGATATATCTCCTCAATCTTTATGAAATATGGAACAATTGAAAATTGGTGTCTCACCACAGTTTATATTGAAGCCTATTTTCTTACCGTGAGGTAAAGTGTCCACCAGAAGAGCCATGAATCTTTTTTGTTCATCCGAGCCAATGACTAAAGCCAAACAAGGCAGGATCAGTATGGATGACACCCAAATGATAGCAGAGCCAGTAGTAGAGTAACTTTAAAGCAATTGAGCATAGTAAAAAAGGGAAGAGAAGCTGATAACAGAAATTTGGTTACTGGTAATACTAACCTCTTGGTCAAGGCACTCAAATTTCCACACGCTCTCACCAAGATCATTTATTTCATTCCACCACCTCAAACCAACTAAAATGCGTCCACTCACATTCTTAACTACCCAGAAATCAAGAGCAGCAAGAAGAACAGTCACAACAAAAATGATGACAAAGTTATCAAAGAAGAGGGCAGAAAGTATGTAAAAAGCCAACGCCCCAGCCTGTGGAAGAAAAGGAACATAATGTTATACAGTGAAGGAGGCACAACATTTGTAAATAACAATTTCTTTTTATGAGAATTGCTACGCAACAAAAGTTTAGATGCTAGACCTTGAAAAGAACATGGAAGAAGCATGTCTTCGGGTTAGCATAGTTTTCCCCTTGTGGCTGCACATGAGAGTAGAATAGAATTAATTACATGACATGAGTTTTTTCAAAAGCACCCCAGCTTACTATACTAAATTAGTAAACAACTACAACATAACAAGCCCCGAAGTTCATGTTCAATGGAAAAAAGAAAAGCGGGAAAGGTTACATGCATCATACTGAGCATTCATATTGTTTTCTCCCTGACAAGAAACTTCCATATTATATATACCATGACGTTTTGTCCTTCTCAAGGAAAATAATGTAAACCATGATAAGAAATACAATGCTCTTATGACATATTTTCCCCCTTTGAAAATGAAGAATTTAGAAGTCAGTTGAACTCTTTCTTCCGGTGACTAAACAGCATAAAATTTATCCTATTTGTTGTTCCTCTTTTATAAAACCTTTCATTTTCAACAAATAGATTATAATGATTCTCGCTCAATTTAATTGACGATTAGATAATTTCCTCTTAGTTTGGACAAATTTATCCTCAACTAAACAAATGACTAAGCTCAAAACATTTCAACAACATCCACCTAAAGAGAATCTGAAATCCCAGATCTGCCATTCAGCCAAAACTGTAACAATGGAAATACTTAATCTACGAAAAATGCAAAAACAAAAAGTGCAAATCGTATATTAAATTCCAAGAATTCTCCCTTTCGTCCTTCTGTCAACAATACATAGCATGGCAAATTTCCAAATGAAATGTTAGTTAACTTCCAGCCCTTTCCCATTATTTTCTCACCAACCAAACAAATGGGCAAGCTCAAAACCTCTCAATAACCAAAACCCATAATCCAGATCCGGCATTAACACAATAACCCTCGTAATCCCAATATTTAACCCCCCCTACATCAAATGCAAATGAAAAACATATAAACATACAAGTATAGCAGAGCAAAACAAAACGCATCAAAGAGTGTGTTAATTCTATCTCTAATTCCAGCATCTGATATAGCAAGCAATAAATTGAAGGGGGGTGGATGTGGAACCGAGTCAACTCACCTGGCTGAGATCCATATCTTTGAACTTCGGAAATATTATTTAAATGGGGGTCTTTGGGAAAATTCAGCTATAGCTTGTGCTTTATGGGATGAACATAACCCCGAAGATAACAGATCTCCCTCTCTCTCTCTCCCTGTCTGAAGAAGAATTTATGTGCTCTGTTCTTGCGATATTACGTCACTTCGTTAGATAGATGCAGCCTTCTATTTTTGTTATATTTTCACCAATATTGGGTGGGCTTGGCCGTCTTCTGGGTCAATTTGGCAAGATGGGCAGGACCCGACATAGAGAACCCATATTAAACAAAAGTGACCAATAAAAGTTGTAACTTTATAATAAAAATCGTGAACAAGAATCATGACGACAATAATACACATGATAATTTTTGCACATTATAAAACGTGATTGGTTGATGTGGTAAAATATTGTTATCTCTATGATATACAAGTTCTTCTCGCTTAGACAGTTGTACATCAATAATAGCTTGCCTCTTTAAAAAGTGTAATTTTTGTCTAGAGGTGTCAAACGGGCCGTGTCGGGCCGGCCCATCCCATTTAAACTCGTGCTTTTAACTTTTTCGTGTCGGGCCGGGTCAAGCCATTTAATTTATTGGGCCGTGTCGTGCTGGCCCATTTAGTAAAATCATTGATTCCCAGCCCAGCCCGGCCCAAAGCCCATGTCCATATTGAAACGGGTCGGGCCGGGCTCGTGCCGTGCCCATGCTCGTGCTCGTGCCATACTCGGGCCCAAGAACCAATCCATTTAATTTGAATTTTTTTTTTCACTTGATTTTTCTTCCACTAGATAATTCAAATTAAAAATATAATTAGAGGCAAGAAATGATGAACTATTTGAAAACATTAATCAATCAAACATCCAAACAATATGAAATGGCGAAGGGCAAAAAGTGTCCAACTCCACAAAGTCCACTTCAACTTTTCATCTTTAAACAACTTATTATTTTATATGTGAAAAAATATATTGCTTTGATTATAAGATAAGCGTATACGTCATATGTACTGATTAGATATCAAGTCCGGTGTTATTTAATTAATTTGTAGTTGATATGTTTAATTAATTAAGGACCCAAGTAATTTCCCAAAAATGAAAGACATCAAATACTTATTTTTGATTAATATATATATATATATATATATATATATATATAAACAATGACATTAGATGTCAAATTATTGCATTTTGACTTTTTAGAAAGAAAAAAAAATGTTAAGTGGGCTGTGCTTGGACTCGTGTCGTGCTTGAAGCGTGCTCGGGCCAAGCCCGGCCCATGTCGGGCCATGGGCAGGCCCGATCCATTGGACCTCATTTTTTGATCCCGGCCCGGCCCAAGTTTTCGTGCCGTGCCAAGCACGGCCCATTAATATTCGTGCTCGTGCCGTGTCATGCCTCATTTAAACAGGCTGAGCTCGTGCCGTGCTGAGCTGGCCGGTCCCGTTTGACACCTCTACTTTTGTCTCCATCATTCATAACACGTTGAAAATGCTTAATGTTGTCTCTTCACAACTTTGCCAAGAAAAATTCAATGGGATAAAGAGTGTTAAAAGGGAAAAGGAGTATGTTGCGCATAAACTCGCGGGTTTTGGTCACTCTCATCAATTGAGTACCCATAAGCATGGCCATCCAACCGTACGCATGAGTTCTGAGTTGAGGTGAACAAAACCCCTAGTCAAAGGCTTGTGTGATGTAACCATAGCAATCTTTATATTCACGGTCATCAAGGTGTGAGGTGTGGAGTTTATGACTATTACACATAGCCATGGCCAACAAAGCTTGAGCTTCTGAATTGAGTTTCCAATTAGTCACAAATTTTCAGAGTTTTGAGTTTCTAGAAGATGAAAAAGAAGGGGTGGGACGCGGGAGCTGCGAGCTGTACAAAAAATTTCAGAGTTAATAAATAGTACTTAATATGGGTGGGCACAGTCCAATTTGGTTCGATTTTGCCCTCAAATCACAACTGAACCGATTACCATGGGTTGATTTGATTCGGTTTTGCCTAAAACAACAATGGAACCCAAACCAAATCAAACAATTAATAGTCGGTTTAGTTCGGGCAGTTTGTACCTATGCAAAACCATTTTTTCACTTGTTAACTTACCAGAGCCACATACTTTCAAAACATCAAAAATCCAATCACACAAACTGCTCACAAGTATCAACATAGCATTCAACATAAGCATAAGCATCAAAATAGCATTCAATCACCATGAAGCCGCAACCATATCCGCTACATACTGTCTGCAAATCAAACATACCCTGCTATATACTTTCAAAACATCAACATTCCATCAAACATCCTATTAAACAGTCAATACAAACCCAACTTGTCAGAAATACAAAAGAATAATAATATAATAATGATACTAGCAATAAGCAGCCTGTAATCTCTGCTGCTTTGATTATTCTCCTCATTCTGCACACCAAAGGTGGATGTAATGAAACCAGATTTCATGATACAAGAATTGAATGGCTGATCTTTGCCACAAGTCAATATCAGCAGATTACATTCTAACAAACATATAGGAAGCAAACAGAAAAACAACAGATTTATAAGCCTATTTATCCAGAGATCATGATATTTCCAATACCAAGCATGAAACAAGCAGATACCAAGCAAAATAGAATCCAAATTGGTTATCTAATCTTCAACTACAATTTTCACATACTCAATTTTATTTTATTTTATTTAAAAAGCTTTTTATTCCTAATAGCAGACTTCAAACTACCAATGCCCAACAATTCCATTAACCCATCTAATGTGCTTTCAAAAGAAGCTCATTTTTACAACTAGAACACTCCACAGACCACACAGAAAGCATATGATGTATATGTATTACGTATATTTGTGAGTATCATACCTTTCCTGTATGAACTTTCAAGGTTCTACAGCAAACGAGATCGGTGAGGCCAAAGATTCTACAGCAATCTGTTTATGTTCTCTTTCTTTGGTCAAACCAAACCACCAAATATGGTTTGATTCAGCTGGTTTGGTCGGATCAGTCGGTTTGATGCCCACCCTATTTAACCCAAAATGAAGTTGACATAGAGCCAGAAAGAAAGCCCCACTAAACTAATTGATTGAGTTGCCACACATCTCCAGGCCATGTGGCCCTTAACATGCATATTATATGTTATAATATAGTAATAGGCCAACTCTCCCCCTTTTCTTTCTTGGCTTGCCGCACCTCTTCAAGCCATGTGGCCTTTAGCATGCATGTTATATATTATACATCATAATATAATAATAGGCTATTTTGGCCTTTGATTGGAGATCAGGCTGTAAGACATCATTAGGCCACAAAACCCTATTTCTTTTTCTTTCATAAAAATCCATTCAATCACTTAGAATGTTTGAAAACCTCATCCTGGGGCTGCAATCCTATTGCCTCGACCCTAGGAGTTTCCTCCAGCCGCAAGAACATCAAACCAGCTTCATAACACTCCAGCCGCAAGAACATCAAACCAACTGCACATAGTAGTACTTCAAATTAAGATGTGTGTAATTTTTTTTCTTTTATTCAGGGAACCAAACAATGGAGATTGAAAACAAGAAAAACTTCTCTAGTACAAATAAAATTATACAAAAAGCAAAACTCACCAGCTATTCAATGTTAGCAGCAGTAGCCGATGCACAATCCCTCCTAAGAGGGCGGGAAGGCTTGTTGACATAAGATGAATTCCACTCCCCACCATCCAAAGCATAGTAGTCCATGGGATAATCCCCAACAACAGCTTCTTCCTCCCCAGCCGCGGCCCCATTTCCATTAGCACAACCACAGGAACCCACATCATTCTTTTTAGTCTTGTCCCACCAACCAGGAATCAAACCAAGAGCAATGTCAGCCTCAAACGGATTCAACAGCGGCTTCTTAAACGCATCTCCCCAATCAATGGACAAGCGGGGACAAGCAATCTGAATCCAAGCATCCACTGAATCCTCAAACAGAGCAATTCTCGGAGGACTAATCTCCGACATCAAAACCACTGTATAAGCAAACCCTTTCTCCCTCATCTTCTTCTCCAGTCTCTGTAGAATCCTGGGATTGCCTTGCCTTCCTAAAGTCCCCAATACCACACCCCAATTTGAGGCCTCCTTTGCCTTCAAAATTGCGCTCTTCCTCGACTCCCTCATTCCCTTTTGATCATATTCCTCCAGAAACAGCTTCCCCAAATACGGGTCGTACCGAAACGCCTTAAGCTCTGGATTCGCTATCATAATCGCTTCCAAATGAAACCGCCCGTCCGCCACAAAAACCACGATGCTCTCCTTATCCTCCTCCTCCTGGTTCCTGTTTCTGCGTATATTGTGTGCGATTTTGGGCGCTGTACAGCCCAAAACCTCACCGGCGGACAACGGTTTTGACTGTGGGTTGAGGACCTTGAAACCACGGGCTTCGAGCTCGGGTTTGGCGGCTCGGATTGCAGAGGCGAATTGGATGGTCCCGGCGAGGACAAGGGTTTTTGAGTGAGGGTTTTGGATGCTGAGATGGACAGTCTCGATTAGTCGGGAGACATCAATGGATATTTCAACGAAGACATATAGGCAGGGGATTGTGGTGACGTGGAGGGGGACGAGGCAGCTGTGGCCAAAGTGTATGAGGAGGTCAGCATCAAGGGCTTTGGCAGCTAGGTCGTCTATGCAGCACGCTCCGTAGGTCGCGTCACCAAGAACAAAGCACTGGGAGGCACCACCGAAGGTAGAGAGGATGTCAGAGAGCACCAGAGAATACATGAGGAGGCCCTCGGGGAGTTGGAGGGCCACGCGCGAGGCATGGGTGGAACGGACGCGCCAGATGCACTTGTGGACTTCAAAGTTGTAGTTGGAGGGAAGCAGCGCTACTGCGGCGTTAAGAGCCGCGTCGTGGAGGATTGAGTCCGGGATTTGGCTCCTCACAAAGCGCTTTGGTGGCGCATGTGGCTTCTTCGTCTGTTGAGAATGAAGGAGAATGGAATTAATTACATGGAAAAGTGCAATTCAAATTGCTACCAAATAAGCATCATAACTCATTTAGACACATGAATCTGTTCAAAAGAACTCCTGACTTACTATACTAAATTACTAAACAACTACAGCATAATAAGACCTGAAGTTCATGTTTAATGGCAAAAAAAGCAAAAGGTATCATGCATCCTACTGAACGTTCATATTTTTGTTTTAATGATAAGAAACTTCCATATTATGCATACCATGATGTTTTGTCCTTCTCAAGGAAAATAAAGCAGCCATGATAAAAAATACAATGCTCTTATGACATATTTTCCTCTAAAAATGAAGAATTTAGAAATCAGTTGAACTCTTTCTTCTGGTGACTAAACAACATAAAATTTCTCCTATTTGTTGATTCTCTTCTATAAAACCTTTCATATTCAAGAATTGGATTTAATTCCAATCCTATATCAGCAGAGTAGAACTAAACACCTGCACAACACCAGACCTCTTAAGTGCCATATTGATCTTTAGGTAAAAATAAATAATCACAAGAATATAGATTATAATAATTCTGGCTCAATTTAATGGATTATTAAATAATTTCCTCTTAGTTTTCACAATTTTCTCCTCAACCAAACAAATGGCTAAGCTCAGAAAATTTCAACAGCAACATCCACCTAAAGAGAATCTGAAATCCCAGATCTACCATTCAGCCAAAACCGTAATAATGGAAATACTTCATCTACAAAATTGCAAAAACAAAAGGTACAGATGACCATATACGTTGTCTAGCAAATTCCAACAATTCTCCCTTTCGTCTTTCCGTCAATAATATATAGCATGGCAAATTTCCAAATGAAATGTTAGTTAACTTCCAGCCCTTTCCCATTATTTTCTCACCCTCTCAACAACCAAAACCCATAAGCCAGATCTGGTAATACCCCAAAACCTTCGTAATCGCACCATTTAACCCACAATACATAAAATGCAAATGAAAAACATATATACATACAAGTATAATACAGAAAATCGAAAATCATCAAAGAGCGTGTTAATCGTAACTCTAACTGCAGCATTTGATATAGGAAGCAATAAATTGAAGAGGGGTTAGACGTGGAACCGAGTCAACTCACCTGGCTGAGATCCATATCTTTGAACTTCGGAAATATTATGTAAATGGGGGTCTTCGGGAAAATTCAGCTATAGCTTGTGTCTTATGGGGATGAACATAACCGAAGATAACAGATCTCCCCCTACCTCTCTCTCTGAAGAAGAATTTCTGTGCTCTGTTCTTGCGATATTACGTTACTTCGTTAGATAGATGCCGCCTTTTATTTTTGTTATATTTTCACAATATTTGGGTGGGCTTGGCCGTCTTCTGGGTCAATTTGGCAAGTTGGGCATGACCCGACATAGAGAACCCATATGAAACAAAAGTGACCAATAAAAGTTCTAACTTTATAATAAATCGTGAACAAGAATCATGACGACAGTAACTTTTGCACAAAATAAAAACGTGATTAGTTGATGTACCAAAATATTGTTATCTCTATGATATACAAATTTTTCTCGTTTAGATAGTTGCACATCAATAATAGCTTGCCTCGTTAAAACATTTGGTAAAAAATGTAACTTTTGTCTCCATTATTCATAACCTGTTGAAAATGCTTAATGTTGTATCGTTAAAACTTTGCTAAGAAAAATTCAATGGGATAAAAAGTGTTAAAGAGAAAAGGAGTATAGTGCACATAAACTCGTTTGGGTTTTGTTCACTCTCATCACCCATAATAATGACCATCCAACCGTACTCATGAGTTTTGAGTTGAGGTGAACAAAACCCCTAGTCAAAGGAAAAACATATATACATACAAGTATAGTACAGAAAATCGAAAATCATCAAAAAGCGTGTTAATCGTAACTCTAATTGCAGCATCTAATATAGCAAGCAATAAATTGATGAAGATGGGTTATATGTGGAACCGAGTCAACTCACCTGGCTGAGATCCATATCTCCGAACTTCGAAAAATATTATATGAATAAGGTCTTTTAGAAAATAACCGAAACGCTAAACCCTCTCTATGTCTGATGAAGAATCCTGAGCTTTGTTCTTGTGTTATTAGTAAGGTCGGGCACGGTTCGATAGCCGTTCCTTGGGAAAGTAGCCAACCACTGAACCAAATGAAGTTCGTGTAGCTTTTTTAGAGACCGTCATCGCGCCAACGAGATGAAACACCGACTATAATCGGCTCGCCAAGAAATTATTGCGGTTTTGGCTGAGAAGACGATGACTTCGCTAGCAGAGGGAGATGAAATGGAAGTAGGAGGCGACGAGCAAAGTGGATAAAAAAAGAGTAGGAAAATCAG